GAGAGGCAACCTTTGGTTCTGGACTGGCTGCACATGTGCAGCTTTGGCAAGCAGTGCTAAACTGGAGGAGGTTACAGGGGAAAAAACTGTCTCAGATGTGGAGTACAGTGAGTTAATGGAGATGGCAAAAGCAGAAGTCCCTTCATAGGCGCAGTTTAGCATAATGTCCTCCTTCCTTCAGGTCTTTTCAGGTTCAGGAGCTATCTAAATGTAAAGATCTCATTCCAAACAGCGGTTTTATTTAGAAGCAAGACTTATGGTTTACTCTGAGTGTTGACATTGTTACCTGACCAGAGTAGATGCAAACCACTCAGTATGCTGTGACTAAACTATTTATTTTCTCAGGGATTTTCTTAGCCCAGTTTTGCCTGTTTATGCGGACTATGTTCATGTCCCACTGGAGAGATGTCATGTTTAAATTCACTTGTGATTGACCTTACTCCAACATCACTATAGAAAAGGGCCAAAAATTTTTTTTAGCGTTTTTATAACTCCTGGCTCCCTTTCTGTACTGAAGCAATTAGCCTGAGCTGACCTCTAGCCAAATGTTCCTGTGGTCAAGTTTCAGCTGGCTGGAGGACAGTTAGCTGCTGTAATTTTTTAGTTCGGGTTTTAGCTCTCTTCATTCTTACAAACTTCTGGAGCTGGGTAAGATATAGAGTGTTATTCCTTAGAATAGTGTGTATTACAGACACTGATTTTTTTTTTTCTGTTAAATAACAGGGACTTTATTAGTGGGGTTTGTCTTTCATACGCGTACAAGGGTAGGTGTTCGGAGGTAAATATTACTAGATTGTAAAAGGTCAGCTTTGTCCTAAAGCCGACAGAGAAGCTGTCTCCTGCTAGGTTAACACTGCAGCCTCTGAACGATACTGTTCTTTCTGGCAGTGAGCTTGCAAGAGTGTGTTAGAGGAACAGCAGCGGGTGGTTACAAGACAGATTGGTGAGAACTTTCTGCAAGGCAGTAGTTGTCTGATGGTGGGGCAGATGACACTTCAGAGGACTCTTCTCTCAGATATTTTATTCTGTACCACCAAAAATGGTATCATGATGGGGCAGCTCTTGCTTTGCAACAGATTGTCTTGCACGAGACCAGAGCCATGGTGGTGTAGCTCTCCCTTGGCCTCCAGTACTTCTAGAAGTGGTGGTCATACCTGCAACCCAGTAAGCTTTTGGTATATGTGCTGGAGGCAGAGACGTCATGTAGACCCTGATGCCTCACACCCCTTGCAGAGCTCCTTTTGCCTGGGACAGACCTTGAATGTGAGCCCTGTCCCAAGGGCTCTGGGTTTGAGCTCCGAGGAGGGTAGCACAACTTGTCCTTTCCAGAGGCTGTTGTACAAAGGGTGAAGCATGGCAGAACCATATTTTTTGTATTTTTGAATGAGAGCAGTTGCCATTTTTGAGTTCAGTCCGGTCCATACTGGGCATGTTCTGAGTACACCTGTTGGATTTTTCTCCTGCATGCAGTTTGTCTGGACAGATAAGTCAGTGGAGGATCCCATGTGGATTTAGGCAGAGCAGAGACACTCAGTTGCTTTGCCTTGTCAAGGCAGAGGCATTTGTGAGAATCCACAGAAGAAGCATATATTTACTAGCAAAAACTAAGAGACTGAACAGTGATTTTGATCGCCTTAAGGATTTAGGAACGCAAATTAATTCTGTGCCCTGTTTCAGACAGTTTTAGTCAAGGTCTGTGGCTCAGCAGG